TTTCAGAATGGTTCTTACACACTCTCTCTCTCTCTGCCAGAAAACAAAGGATCTTTTTCTTTGCTTTCCACTATGGGAACTCAATTTGGTTTTTGGTGGTAAATTTCAAGAAAGTGGGGTGGGGTCGGGTTGCCCTAAGTCTATGGTGCTAGGAGTTTCTCTCTCTCAAACTAGTACATACTTAGCCTCTGGCAATTTGTCAGAACTACTATTTAAGTGTTCCTACTAGTATGTGTCTCATGCAATGACTTTTTTAAAAATTTTTTTATTTTTATTTTTTGTCACTGAGTCTCTCACTCTGTTGCCCAGGCTAGAGTGCAGGGGTGTGATCTTGGCTCACTACAGCCTCTGTCTCCTGGGTTCAAGCGATCCTCCTGTCTCAGCCTCCCAAGTAGCTGGGATTACAGGCACCCACCACCATGACAGGCTAATTTTTGTATTTTTGTACAAAAATAAAGACAGGGTTTCACCATATTGGGCAGGCTGGTCTTGAACTCCTGACCTCAAGTGATCCACCTGCCTTGGCCTCCCAAAGTGCTGGGATTACAGGGGTGAGCCACTGCACCAGCCTGATTCATGCAACTTCTACTTTAGGTAAGTAGATTTAGGCTGTGAGTACATTTTTATTGTTTATAATGGATTGTAGGAAAGCTAAAGTTAACAGGTGACACCTCACGGTTGGCATCTGTGGCCCTCAGAGGTTCTCAGAGGCTTCAGATTTTTTTTTCCTCATTCAGTAAATGTGCTGCTCTGCACTGCTGAGTACAAAAGATTCAAAAGATCTTCACTGGTTGATGGGTTGGAGCTACATCTGTAGGACTGAGGTCTGAAAGTCCAAGCTCTGTTGCACTATTAACCCTATCAGCATTTCCTCTGCCCTGAGCCTGCCCTTCTCTGAGCCATTCGTTCTCAGACTACCACCAGCTAGTTTCACAGGTGGAGGCAACTGCAGGATTTCAGACTGGGGAAGTTATCCCAGCCTTTTCTGTCTCCAAGTTGTTCTGTCTTCTCATACAGGAGAGACTTGCTCTTTGAGAGACTATAATAATGAATAGAACACATTAAATAAATTTTAGTAGACAAAGTAAGTGAACATTTTACACATATCCTTTTGCAAGGCAAAAGGTAGCATAACCAACCAATAAAATTGCAAATTAAAATTGATCATTATTGGTCATTAAAGTATTTTTTAAAGTACACAGTTCTATGATAATAAGCTGTAGAATCTGTATAAAATATTTGAAAAATAAAAATGTCTAACGTTCACCAAAAGGCGGAAACATTTCACAAGAAAAACATTAGAAGATATGCAAAATTATTTTCCACATATTGATGCTTTCCAAGTATTGATGCTTGTTTTGCAGAGAAGACAGCCCTGCTGTGCCTTGCTCAGGGAGGGCTTGGGGACCTGGGAGAACTGTGTGTGTAAAGCCAGAGGGATCTGAGAAGACAGATACTTTACTCCTGCACTGGGGTCTGTAAATAATTTCCCAGCTGACTCTCTCTGCCTGTGTAAACAAGCCTCGAGAATATGACCCTTCCCCACCTTTGTTATCCCCTTCTCTGTTTACATAGAGCTCTAAGTACACTCCCATGGAAATATTTACATATTCTTGAATGCACTAAACTTGCTCATTTTTCTATCCGGGTCCTTTCTGCCACCCAGAAGCACAGCTCACTTGAGACAGAGGCACCAGAAGAATGCCTAAGATTTTCCAAAAGTGGTGATTTTTCTACCATTAATATATTATGTGTTGGTAGTGTGAAAAAAACAAATCTTGGAGCTTGGAAATCACTAGGCTAAGAGAAAAGTCAAGCTGGGAAATGCTTAGGGCAAACCTGCCTTCCATTCTATTCAAAGTCATCCCTGTGCTCACTGATACATATGCCTATCTGACTGACTCCTTTGGAAAGGCTAATCAGAAACTCAAAAGAATGCAGCAGATTGTCTCTCACCAACCTGTGACCTGAAAGTCCCCTCCCTGCTTGAGTTGTTCCACCATTTCAGACAGAATCGATTTACAGCTCACATATATTACAGATTGGTGTCTCATGTCTCTCTAAAATGTGTAAAACCAAGCTGTGCTCTGACCACCTCAGGTACATGTCATCAGGATCTCTGATGGGGACACATGTCTTCAACCTTGGCAAAATAAACTTTCCAAATTATCTGAGCTCTGTCTCAGATTTTTGGGGCTCACACTAGACAGTTGTTAAGAAAATAACAAAAAGAGATTAAAGACACAACATAGTTGCATTTCCATTGAACTCAGAGAAATAAGTTTTTAAAAAGGAAAAAAACTCAAGTGAACAAAATAAATCATGAAAAAAATGAATGTTATGCACACAGAACTGATGGGCTAAGGTAATCTACACATCTCAACTCATGCTTTAACAAATCTGTCTAATGCTTTACTATTGTAAATGAAAGAGTATCTGAGAAAACCCTCAATCAATTTAGGGAATTCATTTTGCTAAGGTTAAGGATGCACCCATGACACAGCTTCAGGAGGTCCTGACAATATCTGCCCAAGGTGGTGAGGGCACAGCTTGGCTTTATACATTTCAGGGAGACATGAGACATCAGTCAATATAAGTAAATGTACATTGGTGCAGTCTATAAAGGCAGGACAACTGATGCAGGGAGGGGACTTCAGGTCATAGTTGATAAAAGACAAACAGGTTGCATTAAATAACAAGGCAAAGTAAACCAGATATTCATTTGTCTCACCTGAGCCGAGGGATGACTTCAAGTTCTGTCTGGAAGTATGTAGCTTAATCTTAGTAGCTGTCTTTTTCTGGAATAGAATAGGAGGCAGGTTTACCCTAAACGATTCCCAACCTGCCTTTTTTTTTTTTTTTTTAGGTTTAGTAATTTTTGTGTCCCGAGATTTTTTTCCCTTTCACACTATCTAAATGTATTAGTTACCAATATTGAAATAAGGAAAAGAAATCTGAAAGTATTAGGTTGGACAAAAGTAATCACAGTTCTCACCATTATAAGACTTTTTTTTTTTTTTTTTTTTTTTTTTTTTTTTTGAGACGGAGTTTCGCTCTTGTTACCCAGGCTGGAGTGCAATGGCGCGATCTCGGCTCACCACAACCTCCGTCTCCTGGGTTCAGGCAATTCTCCTGCCTCAGCCTCCTGAGTTGCTGGGATTACAGGCACGGCACCACCATGCCCAGCTAATTTTTTTTGTATTTTTAGTAGAGACGGGGTTTCACCATGTTGACCAGGATGGTCTCGATCTCTTGACCTTGTGATCCACCCGCCTCGGCCTCCCAAAGTGCTGGGATTACAGGCTTGAGCCACCGAGCCCGGCCCATTATAAGACTTTTAATGGCAAAAGCCGTGATTACTTTTGCACCAACCTAACAATAATTGACTCTCTTAAAAGTGGTCAAAGCATATTCCATAGGTATTGGATGTGAATACTTTCTATGGGAAAGCTGTTAAACTTCCAACAAGTTTATAATTGTCCCGCCTGGAAATTGTCCTTGATCGCTATGCATGAGTCAGATTAGGAAGCCAAAAGGGAAAATTGTACCTTGTCAGGCAGTTTCCAAAGCTGGCATCTTTTGATATGTAACATGCTCTACAGGACGTAGAAGACTAGGATTGTTTTGATGCATACAGCACAGAAAATGAATCTATCAACTTATATTCCTCATGAAAACAGAGCATTCTGTTTTCAGGCACAAATGTGGAGTCATCCTGTGACCCAAAGAGTGGCAAGGTTACTTGTTCAAGGTTCCTCCTCATTAGGTTTGATTTCAAGGTTACCTCAGTTTCAAAGCAGCCCTTTCTTTCCAGGGCCCAAAACTCCTGATTTAATACTTAACAACGAGTGGTTCTCAGCTTCAGATTCACATATACCTTACCTGGAAGACTTTTCATTTTTATATAATGTTACTGATGTGTATGTCACGTGAAATAATATGCACCCATTTACAGTGGACAGTTTGATGCGTTTTGAAAATGTTTTACACCTGTGCAGCTACCACACAATGGAGATTTAGAACATTTCCAACACTCCGCAAAGTTCCCCAGTTCCTTTGTACCCAACTGTTCTCACCATCATCCACCTCTCCTCTCCGCCACCCACCCTCCATCTCCTAGGGCAGGCGTCCCCAAACGTTTTACACAGGGGGCCAGTTCACTGTCCCTCAGACCGTTGGAGGGCCGCCACATACTGTGCTCCTCTCACTGACCACCAGTGAAAGAGGTGCCCCTTCCTGAAGTGCGGCGGGGGGCCGGATAAATGGCCTCAGGGGGCCGCAAGTTTAGGGACGCCTGTCCTAGGGGGTGACGTGGCATTTTAGTAGGAGGCAGGCAAGTGGATCGTTGAAGGATGAGTCAAGTTGGTAAACTGATTCTAGGAACCATATGCAACCATGAAAGTGGTAAAAGAGGATTTGGGTGCTGTAGCTGACCTGGGAGGCAGTAAGGGTTAAAACAGAGCCGGTTACAGTTGTAACGACCAAATATCTCTTCAGACATTGCCAAATGTGCCCTCTAGTGCAGAGCCTCCATTCCGCCCTTGAGAATCACTGGATTAAGAGAGCATGCCCTTCTGTCCAGAGCTTCTACAGGACTACGCAGCCCAGTTCACCTGGACGCTCCTCGCCCTTCTCTCTTACTGACAGCCCTAAAAATTTCACTTTCATTTCTCAGCCAGTTCCTGCTCAGGAGGGAGGGACTTCTCAAGGGGAGGAACTTCATTTGTTAAATGGATCCTGACCACACCCACCCTGGCTTTTCTTCACCTCTTCAACCAGGACCCGAGATTTCTGTTGGCCTGAAGGTGTGTGGGGAGGTTTGTGGGGGGTACAGGGTATGCGACTCTAGGAGAAAAGTTCTGAATGAAGTTAGGGGAATTTGATTTGTGGCCCCGAGGCTACCCTGCGGTGTTGGGAGCAAAGGCTGGCTTGCAAGCTTCCTGCTTTGAGCGCAGGCTGATCTGATCTCTGATCGCAGCCAAGAGTCTGGGGAGGGACAGCCTTGAAAGGAGTGTTAGGCAGAAGGCCTCCTTTGTTTTCTGGAGTGAGTTCTTTTTTTTTTTCCCTCCAGGCTGAATCTGTTTCCATTCCCTTCCTATTCTATAGTCTTGATTTTCTACCTTGCAAAGGAAACTGAATTCTCTCCTCTCTCTTTCTCTGTCTTAAAGAGATCAACAACAAAACAAAAACAAAAAAAAAGAGATGAACAGATCTCTTCTTTCCCACCCCTTTCTCTCTCAAAAGAGAAGGTGGTGAGAGGAGGTCTGTTTTCCAAGCCTGTGCAGGTCTGAGCTCCTAGTATGCAGCTTTACATAGAATGGAATCAGAATGGCATGACCACGGGAAATACTGAAGCGGGTTTTTTCGCTGCCCTCCTGGCAACCACTAAGGCGCTTTCTGTAGCCATCCTCACATATCCTCAGTCCTTGGCCTGCCAGACAGCAGCAGCTTGAGTTATCTGACTGCTGCACACCACTCTGTTCCCTCTTACCCTGCGTCATTCTGCAGCCCGTCTCAGGGCTCTCTTTGCACGTCCCTGAACATACCTGCAAGGGTCATTGCTGAGTTTAAAATGAGGAAACAGAGGCCAGTAGAAGAAAATTAAATGCCAGTTTATTCAGCTCCCTGCGACGTTCCATGCTCTCGCGGAAAGGGGCCAGAGAAGTAGGGCTCACTTCCTAAGGCCTAGGGTTTATATAGCTATAGCGAGGGAGGAGCAGGGTGCTCTGATTGGTTATGGGGAGCGAGATTCAAACGGCGTTTGCCGCCATTGGCTGGCGGGTCGCGGGGGCGACGAGGCAGGGCTAGGTGTGGAGTGCAGAGTCTGGGGCTGGGTGCAGAGCTAGGTGCTGAGTGCAGAGCCTGGTGCTGAGTGCAGACCCTGGTGCTGAGTGCAGAGGTGGGTGTGTTGCCACGGTGGGGGAGCTAGGTACTGAGTGCAGAGCCTGGTACCGGGAGCAGAGATGTGACGTTGGTTTGGGGCGCCGAGAGTGGAGGGTGTGTCCGAGCTCCTGGTGAGGCAAACGGCCTTACAACACCTGCTTACTTCAGTAACCCACATGCCACCAGCGTCTTCACCTGTCTTAGAACTTGCTCCTCATCATTCTTCCTTTTAGACACATTTTTGCATTGATTTGTAACCTCAGTTTCTTAACTGTTTTTCTTTGCTCAGAACTGCTTAACAGAAGTTGTTTAGTGTGGGCTCAGAAGGCACCCACAGATTTAATCTTCTTGTTAAGAATTTGACATAGAGTATGTCCTATCTTAAGCTCATTTGTAAGCAATTTGTACCTTGATTGATACGTTGCAGATATTCTGACACATGCCGTTCTGGCCTCTGCTCTCACCCTTCAGAGTTCACTGTAACTGCCTTTCTGTGTCTCTGCCATACTCCTGGGTAGAATTCATGTCTGCCTACTTCCTGTCTCCCAGATGCATCTAGTCAGGCACAAGGCCCAACATATGGGATAAAACTGATTACAAAGCAGGCTGCTGGTGTGAAAATGTGCAGTTAACATCCATCCACCATTCAATAAATAAATATGAAATATACATGGAGGTCTACATTTTAATTAGAAAGCAATCATAGACCATATCAATAAATGATAGCGTACCCAGGAAGATGACTAATACTATGGAGTAACATCTTTTTTTTTTTTTTTTTTTTTGAGAAGGAGTTTCGCTCTTGTTACCCAGGCTGGAGTGCAATGGCACGATCTTGGCTCACCGCAACCTCCGCCTCCTGGGTTCAGGCAATTCTCCTGTCTCAGCCTCCTGAGTAGCTGGGACTACAGGCACGAGCCACCATGCCCAGCTAATTTTTTGTATTTTTAGTAGAGTCGGGGTTTCACCATGTTGACCAGGTTGGTCTGGATCTCTTGACCTCGTGATCCACCCACCTCGGCCTCCCAAAGTGCTGGGATTACAGGCTTGAGCCACCGCGCCCGCCGGAGTAACATCTTTAAGAAGTTAAATTAGGGTAAGGACTCTGTATAGACCTCATAAAGTCCTTGCAGCTTTAAATAGTTGGTTTTTGTTTGTTTGTTTGTTTGTTTGTTTTGAGACGGAGTCTCGCTCTTGTTACCCAGGCTGGAGTGCAATGGCGCGATCTCGGCTCACCGCAACCTCCGCCTCCTGGGTTCAGGCAATTCTCCTGCCTCAGCCTCCTGAGTAGCTGGGATTACAGGCATGCGATCTCTTGACCTCGTGATCCACCCACCTCGGCCTCCGAAAGTGCTGGGATTACAGGCTTGAGCCACCGTGCCCGGCCAGCTTTAAATAGTTTTTATGAAAGTGTTAAATAGATTTCATTGTAAGGAGACTACATTTGAATAGAATCTTAAGAATGTGAAGAAATTAAAGGCCTTAGTGGTTTTTCCGTGGGCTTAAACAGAGAACAGTGTAGATATGGAAGATTGAGATGGGAGTGTGAAGAGAGAGGAATAAAAGATGAGCTCTGAGGATTGAGGCAGTGGGAAGGGCTGTGTGATGTGGACCATTATGAAGTCTGGCCTCACTCTGGATGGCATGGGTTTGAACAGAAGAGTGACATGATGTCAATCATGTCACTTTAAGGTGATCACTCTGTCTACTGATGTAAGAACAGAGATGGGAGTAGAGTGAAGAAGAGCAATGATGGCCAGGTGCCGTAGCTCACGCCTATAATCCCAGCACTTTGGGAGGCTGAGGCAGGTGGATCACCAGAAGTCGGGACTTTAAGACCAGCCTGGCCAATATGGTGAAACCCTGTCTCTACTAAAAATACAAAACTTAGCTAAGCATGATGGCATGTAGCTGTAATCCCAGCTACTTGGGAGGCTGAGGCAGAAAATCACTTGATTCCAGGAGGCCGAAGTTTCAGTGAGCGGAGATCGTGCCACTACACTCCAACCTGGGTAAAAAGAGTGAAACTCCATCTCAAAAAAAAAAAAAGAAGAAGAAGAAGAAGAAGGGCAATGATAGGATCAGCAAGACTAGTGGGAGAACAATTTCCTGAATTCAGGTGATTTCTGTTGGAGTGGTGAGAGTTGAGGTGGTTGGAACTAATTTGAAAAAAACTCAGCATATTCTCATGAAGTAACAGACAGAAAAAGATAAGATTACAGGTTGATTAATAAAAATGATTCTGTGTTAAAAGATAACTTTTTGGAAATCTATTGACCAGAATGCGTCAGCTCTTGGGGAGAGAGTCGTTATTGTAGTACAGATTGAGCCCTGGATTTTAAGGAATAGCTGAAGCAAGAACTCTGTTTATAGAATGGGGAGGAGATGTTGTGATGTTTCTGAGATCTCCCGGCCTCTGAATGTCAAAACAGGCTCTACTTTCCTTATTGGCAGTTTCTGACTAAGGAACCAGAAGAATTGTCTAGGTTATTGTCTAGAAACTTGAAAAGACATCCTCCCCTAAAAGTCACTCTTAGAGACACTCTAATTTTACTATCTAATCTGCAGAGACTTAGAGTCTGCATTATCATATCCAGGTGTTAGGAATCAGATTTTAGGAGAAGACTCAAATGAAGGGCGCAGTCGTCTGGCAGCTGTGGTAACCAGGCAACCTGGGAGTTCCGTTAGGCCGAGGACACTCACGTTCCCTTCTCTACCTCCCTGACGGCTGCTGGGCTTGGGCCCCAATGAGAAGTGGTGGAGTCATTTCTCACATGTGGGACCCTGACTGCTCTGCACTTTTCTCATTGTTTTGCCACTATGGTGGCAACAGCTTTGGCATACATGCAGCCTCACTGTGAACATGAAGTCGCAGCCTTGGTAGAATGCATGTTCTACTACTTCCTCTCCTGGAGCCCCCTGGTATTTCTCTCTATTGGTTGGATACGAATTGGAATAAAAGATAACAAAAAAACCCACATCTGTGCTTGGCTCATAGTTTTAGCCATAAACAAGGGCAAATCTTATATCATGTAAACTCCTGGAATCGCTAGTCATCAGAGCCTGGTCTGACTTATGGTCATTGTAGCCAGGGGGCTACCACCATATTGCTTTTGTGTGATTTTTAGTACCTATACTGTTGGCTGGATTACACTCGCCAGCTAACTTTCAGGCTTTTTTCCTCTTTAAGGTCTTTTGACCTTAGAGGAGTAGACAGGTCTCAAGGCCTAGATTTATCTCCATACAGCTTTCATCATACCCCATCCTTTTGCCAAGCGTGGGGAAGATTCCTGAGTTGTCACACTTCACAGATCTTTCATTCTTTCACTATCAAACCTTTTCAGTTGTATTCGTTTCCTAGCACTGTTGTGACCAATTATCTCCAACTAGATGACTTAAAACAACAGGGATTTTTATCACAGCTCAGGGGTCCAGAAGTCCAAAACCAAGATAGTAGCAAACTTGATTTTTTCAGAAGATACTATGTGAGAATCGGTTCAATTCCTCGCACCTAGCTTCTGGTGGTTTCTAGCCAACTTTGGCATCTTTGGCTTATATCTGTGCTGCTCCCATCTCTGCTTCTATTGTCACATGGCTTTCTTTCCTGTGTGTCTGTATGTCCTCTGCTCTCCTTATAAGAATATAGATCATTAAATTTAGGACCTGTCTTTATCCAGTATCACCTCATCTTAACTTGAACTTGATTACATCTGCAAGGATGTGATTTACAAATAAGGTCACATTCACATAAGTGAACGTATTTTTGTGGAGGGTATAATTCGGTCTACTAGAGTAAGTATCAAAATGTTACTATCTACTGAGATCGACCCTTTTTCCCTTTGCCTCATGGTTTCTCGTCTAAACCAACTTCAGGTTCTGAGAACTGGCATTGTACCACCATGCCACCACACTGTGGTATTACCCTCTGACTGACCACAAGCAATAATTGTAGGTTTGTTTTGCTACTTGGACTCACGCAATTTAACTCCTCAGGGGGAATACAAGACAGGAGACACAGCATGCAGGCAGGCAGGGCCGCTTCAGGTGAGCTCTCAGTGAGGAATCTTATGGTGGTACAAGACCAAGTGGATGTGTGTGAAACTAACATAGCTTAGGTAAACCTTACATCAACAGACTGAGTCCCTTGTAAAGACCATAAGCATAGCTTCCAGGGCCCTACAGAGAATGTTTTGTTACAAGATTCTCAACCCTCTTGTGAAAGCTGGGGTCTATGCTTACCAAAACAAAACAAAACAAATAATATAATATAATATACCAGGGGAAGGTGATGGCTATGTCTTTTTTACGGAAAGAAAGTACTTAAGCCTAATGATAACCTTTTTTCCCCACATGTCTAGTCTGGCTTCCAGTCTTATTTCCTCTACCTCACTCTATTTCTCACCCTCATCTGCTTTTCTCTGTTTCCTCTGTTAACTCATCCTGCAACCTCCCGTCCCTGCCCTTACCTCCCATTTGTTGTAAAGAGACTGGCGCTTTTACTTCATTTAGGAAGTGTCACATATCCAGGTTCTTCCAGGTCCATGTGATGCCAAGGGTTTAGGGCTTTTTGCATCCTAGCCACACATTCAAAAACTTTTGAAGATGGTATGATGATTTGTCCTCCTTGAATGGGGCATTCACTTACATGATTCCTTCTACCTAAAATATTTTTTTCTTTCTCATTCTGTATTCCTTTCTCATAATTCAGCTTTCATTTAAACTCTTATTTATCTAAGCAAGATATCTTGGATAGTCCTCTATTTGGCAAATTATCTGATTTTCCAAAAACATATACCTCTGTATGATGGTATTTTTTACACCTACCATTTTACACTTTATGAATGATTATATAATTAGCTTCTGTCTTCTTTAGGTGATTATTTACTTTATTCTGGCTAATACCATCTGTTCATACTCAACTTTGGATTTTAATCCATTTCCTGGATTTTAATCACTGAAGATAATGTGTCTTCAGTGAGAATTTCCTAAATAAACAAATGAATAATTGGTATTCAGTTAGTGGATGTGGATTTAACACAGACAGGACTTCATTGCTCCAAAATGTGGTCTCCCCTTGTATGTTGGGATATCTCTCCCATGACCAACAGCCATCTCATTTTTTTTTTTATTCCTCAGTGATCTGACATTGATATGAATCTGTGATCTATGTGTAACTCCCAACAAATACACACCTTTGGGTTCCTATTATAACATGCTTTCAGGCCAAGATAAAATCAACCACACCATCTGCAAACACAAGACCCCCCAGAAATTCCTAACTTACCTGGTTTCCTCTATTTCTATACTCATCACACTGGATCTCAATCTACTTCTTTCAGGCTTTACCTCTGCTTTTCTTTGTTTAAATAAGTGAAGTAACATGGAGACCTCTGAAAGAGAACCCTGAGATTATTATGTTCAATCCAATTCTACCTATTAAATTGAATAATCTATGTAAGTCATTTAATTTTATTTATTCATCTGAAAGAAAGGGAGTACTCTCACTTTTTCTTTTTTGAGATGGAGTCTTGCTCTGTCTCACCCAGGCTGGAGTACAGTGGCGTGATCTCAGCTCATTGCAGCCTCTGGCTCCCGGGTTCAAGCAGTTCTCCTGTCTCTGCCTCCCGAGTAGCTGGGATTACAGGCGCGTGCCACATCACCCGGCTAATATTGTATTTTTAGTTTCACTATGTTGGCTAGGCTGGTCTCAAACTCCTGACCTCAGGTGATCCACCCACCTTGGCCTCCCAAAGTGCTGGGATTACAGATGTGAGCCAGAACACCCTGCCTCTGGAGTACTCTTATTTCTCAAGAATTTTTGGAGGAGGAATGAATAGGCCAAAGTCATTTCTAAATTGAACTGGTAATTAAATCTCCATATTGCAGTCATTGCTGTCTGTGGGTATCTCTGGGAAGTGTGTGAGTGTATGGCAGGACTCTGTGTGGGTAGGTGTGTTAGGAGGCGAGCACTTCTTCACTGAAAACCACGTCTGGGATTCCACAGTCCAGCTATTGAGGAATTTTCAAATAATGGAATTAAAAAAAAAATGAAACACCGATAAGAAGGTTTTAGTCATCTATGGAGAGATGGGAAAGTTTTTAATATATTTATCAAACATTGTACTTCACTGTGTTCTAAACACTGGAGCTAATGCAATAAAAAAAAAAAAAAAAAAAAACCAAAAGTGCCAAATTTATGTGTGGATTGTATTTTAGAAAGAAGAGGTAGACATTTAAAGATAGATGGTGATAATAAAAGATGCAAATGTACACTGAATGATGAGTTTGTGGTGGTGCTATAGTTGTTTGTCTTAGCAGACCCTTCTGATAAAGGCACATGTCAGGAAAAGCTGAAAAAAAAAGTGTAAACGGAAGTCATGCAAATAGCAACAGGAGGATAATTCTAGCAATGAAAAAGTGCAAAAGCCTTGAGGCGTTAATAGCTTGCCCAGATGACTTTCAGACATTTTTGGTTTCTCTTCCTCATCTTTTTTTGTTTTTCGGTAGTGCAGTCTTGGCCAGTCTTTGATGTGTGTGCACTTATAATGCTTTTTATTTGTACTATTCTTATACCTCCCCTTTCAATCTTCTCAGCCATCCAGGGGTCTTCAAGCAAGAAGAGAGAACCTCAGGAGTTAGAACCAGAGAAGCCAGGGAAGCAGTGCAATGGCTTCAAAAATCTTGCTTAACCTGCAAGAGGAGGTGACCTGTCCCATCTGCCTGAAACTTTTGACAGAACCCTTGAGTCTAGGCTGTGGCCACAGCCTCTGCCAAGCCTGCATCACTGTGAACAACAAGGAGGCAGTGACCAGCCCGGGAGGAAAAAACAGCTGTCCTGTGTGTGGTATCAGCTACTCATTTGAAAATCTACAGGTTAATCAGCATCTGGTCAGCATAGTGGAGAGACTCAGGGAAGTCAAGTTGAGTCAAGACAATGGGAAGAAAGATCTCTGTGATCGTCATGGAGAGAAACTTCTACTCTTCTGTAAGGAGGATAGGAAGGTCATTTGCTGGCTTTGTGAACGGTCTCAGGAACACCGTGGTCACCACACATTCCTCATGGAGGAAGTAGTCCAGGAATGTCAGGTAGGGCCCTAGATGGAGGGACATGGGGCAGAAGATGGTAGCTGGTGGAAGTCTCACCTTTCCATCCTTCTTTACCCCTTGTGGCACCATAGTCCTGAGTCCCGTGATCTTCTCCATGTACATCTTTCACCCTATGCTCAGCTTCCAATGCCTGGGGTACATTTCTGCTATTCCTTTTATTTACATACCAGATGATCCTGGAGTACAGTCTCTTAGCCAAGAGTGAGAGACTTTTGTTTTTTCCTTTTTCATTATATGAGTGATAAATTCCTTCCCAAAGTTAGCTTTCTTGCTTCTCTAAGCAGGATAATTTCTGAGGAACATTGTGGATTGAATGAGGAAAGAACATTGATAAGAGGAAAGGACTTTCCTTTTGGCAGGATAAATACTTACTCTTAGGAAAGAGAGAATCAGGCTACTCCTCTTGAAGGGGTAGTGACTTTCATCACCAATGAATAAACAGTACATTCATCTCTTCAAATTTTCCCACATGTCATAGATTCTAATCACCAGCTTTACAGTTATGATAAATTGCTCTTTTCTCATCTCAACTTGATTTCTTTCCTCTTTGTCCTCTATCCAGATACTGAGAAAGCTTATAGCTTGACTCTGATGTGATTCCTTTCTCATAGGAGAAACTCCATGCAATCCTCAAGAGGCTGAGGAAGGAGGAAGAGGAAGCTGAGAAGCTGGAAGCTGACATCAGAGAAAAGAAAACTTCCTGGAAGGCAAGAGGAGATTCTGAAGGATTTCTGAGACAGGAATCTTGACAGGACCTTAGTCCAAGGAGGCCTCATTCTTTTGGTTCCTTGACATTGCATGAGTCCTGCAGCCATTTGATTAGTTCTCTTCTCTGTCCTGTCCCTGCTTGGGGTGGAGGCTGGACAGTGGACATGTTACAGTTTACACACACATACCTAGTACTGAGCACCAAGATAGACTCTGTGATGAGAAAGGCTAGCAAATAGTACTGAGCACAAAGATAGACTCTGTGATGAGAAAGGCTAGCAAATACTGTGTTCCATTGCTCTTTTCCAATGAGGCTCTGCTACTTCTGGTGGAAGACACTAGATTAAGGACTAAGGTTTTCCTCAAGATTCAAATTAGGAGTATGGTAAGGGAGGCAGTCATGAATATCCAGGAAAGCTGTCTAGAAGCTAAGACTTACTATGTTTTACATTTTGTCTCAGCGTTGGCCTAGATAAGACAGTTTGAGATCATTGCTTTGGTAGGTACTAAAAAAAAATAGTAGGAAAAAACAGCTTCCCCCAAATACTACTATTGCTTCCTTTCACTACCTTGCTGGTTTGAACTCCCTACTGGCTTCTCATCCCTTACACAGTAGGCCCTCAGCCCGACAAACTTATTACATCTCTCTCTTGTCCATCCTTGCAGTATCAGATACAAACTGAGAAACAAAGGATACAAACAGAATTTGATCAGCTTAGAAGAATCCTAGATAGTGAGGAGCAGAGAGAGCTGAAAAGATTGGAAGACGAGGAAAAGAAGACGCTGGATAACTTGGCAGAGGCTGAAGACGATCTAGTTCAGCAGAAGCAGTTGGTGAGAGAGCTCATCTCAGATGTGGAGTGTCGGAGTCAGTGGTCAACAGTGGAGCTGCTGCAGGTAAGAAGGATCGCTCAATCTGAGATTCTGGAAACACAGTTTGTTACCTTTTTTTCTGTGTCCTGGGGTTCTCATTCTGGTGGTGACACTAAGGGGTTTCTTTGGCCTTGCAGTGCCCATTTATCATCCATTCTAGATGTCGTGGATATGAATGAATATAGGCATTCTAGGGCAATGTTACATTATTGTTAATTTATGAAGTAAAGGAATACACTTAACCTTGCAGAGAAGAGCCATAATATCTAGTTATAGTCACTAGGCCCCTGTTATATGTGATCTAGTGTCAGGCTTTTGTCAGACTTCTATTTACTCAGATTAGTCACAGGTAAACACATGATGCATTTTCAGGTTTAAGAGCAAACACATATAAGAAATGTGTTCTATTTAAGTTTAAAATATACTTATTTGTTATTGCAGATGTTCCCTGTTAATTCTTTTTAAATGTGAAGTGATGGGATATTGAGCCTTTTGGCGAGAGAGATGGACAAATATCTGGACAGACAGTGCTTCCCTTTCTTTGATAAATTTCTAAATATTTCCTTTTTAAGTTTTGGAATGAAGGAGGAGAGTAACTGATTTTCATTTGTTGAATTGTTTCCTTTGTCTCCGGTGCTTATATTCCAGATTTCTTTTCTTCCTTTTTCCTTTTGTCTTCTTCTTTTTGTTTAAATTTAAGATTACTCTGGAACAGAGGTTCCTAAACATATTTTGCACTCATTAGGATGGCTATAATCAAAAAAGATGGACAATACCAAGTATTGGGGAAGATATGAAGAAATTGAAATCTTCTTGAATTGCTAGTATAGATGTAAAATATAGTAAAGCTACTTAGAAAAACTGCTTGGCAGTTGCTCAGAAACTTAAAGGGAATTCTCATGTGGCCTAGCCATCCATTCCTACATACATACCTAGAAGAACTGAATACATATATCTCTGCGTAAACTTATATATGAAAGTTCACAGCAGTATTGTTCAAAAATAAAAACAACTCAAATCTCCTTAACTAAGGAATGGATAAGGAAAATGTGTTATATTCAAACAATGTAATATTGTTTAGCTATGAAAAATAATGAAGTAATAATACATGCTGACATGAATGCACCTTGAAAACATTATAACTGAAAGAAGACAGACACAAAGTTCTTTTTGTATGATTCCATTTATATGAAAGTCTATACGTAGCAAATCCATAATACAGAAATTAGATTAGTGGTTGTCAGGGCTCTGGGGAAGAATAAATAGGAAGTAATTGCTAATTAGTGCACAATTTCTATTTATAGTGATGAAAATGATCTGGAGTTTTCTATGCAATGATGGTTACACAATATTGTGATTATATTAAAACCTGTTAAATTATGTACTATAAAATGCAAATTTTGTGGTATTCGAACTACATTTCAGTAAAAACAAAAGCAAAAAGATTCTGTAGGCCCTTTTTTATAGTTCTTCCCTAAGCTCTTCAGAACCCTTTGAAGCGCCACCTTCACAAAAGAACACTGTGTTTATGTCGTTTGTCTAGGCATTTGTCCTATTTAAGTCAGTCTTAGTTGCTATTTTGGTCACTTGGAACTTAAAAAAATATTGAAATATCAAAAATTATAAATGCTGTAGGTTTAACATTTCACATCTAGATGTTAACTTCAAAGAATGGCAAATGGATTTTTTTTTAATGTTGAACCAACCTGGCATTTCTGGGATATGTTCTACTTGGGCCTTAGTTATAATCTTTTTGCTGGATTGCTGGATTTGATTTTCTTGTATTTTTGTTGGAGAATTTTGTATTTATATTCATAAGAGATAGTGGCCTATGTTTTTCTTTTCTTGTGATGTCTTTAGTTCTTTTATTAGGGTTATTTTATCAGGGTAGAATAAGTCTTATGTAATGAATTAGGTAGTGTTTCCTGCTCTTCTATATTTTTGAAATAGTTTATGAAGTTTTGATATTACTTCTTTCTAAACCTTTAGCAGAATTCACCAGTGAAGCCATCTGGGTAAGGTCTTTTCTCTGTAGGAAGTCTTTGATTTCCAATTTAATCTCTTAACATGTTTTAGGCCTATTCATATTTTCTATGTTTTCTTTAATCAGTATTGATAGTTTCTATATTTCTAGGAATTTGTTTATTTCATTTAGATTATCTAATTTGTTAGCATATAGTTGTTCATCATTTTTATAATCCTTTTAATTTCTGTGAGGTCAATGGTAATATCTCATCTTTCATTCCTGATTTCTTTTTCTTGGTATGTCTAGGTAAATTTTTGCCAATTTTGTTGACACTTTTGTATAACTTACTTCTGATTTTTCCATTTTTTTCTATTGTTCTTCTTTCTTTCATTTGTCTTATGCTAGTCTTTACACACTTTGACTCATGTTTTCTCTTTTCTTTCTAGGACATGAGTGGAATCGTGAAATGGTGAGTATGGGTGGTCAAGAGTGGTGCTTGTGAGTTATAAAGAAGTGTTTGTAAATATTAGGTAGTCAATCAGAAGAAAGAAATCTTCCAGAGTAGTAAAATTTGGATGTAGTATTACCTTAAATTACTGGTTCCAGATGAAAATTTGAGTTTTCCATAAGTATTAAGAATAGATTCAATCCTATAGTAGTAAATTCAGTGGTTGAAGTTGAGAGCTAGAGCCAGAAAGGATATTAAGGATGAGAGCTTTTACTGTCAGACTCTTGTGACTTGACTCGTTTCATTCATCCTCTGTCCTGTATCCAGCCCTGGATTTTTTGTTTTATATATGTTTGTCATATCACATGGAGCACCTTGTCAAATCCTAAAATAGGGCATGGAGATAGCTCCTTTATATTTACTTTGCTTACTCAGGAAAAGAAGGTACCATATCATTATGCAAGGTTTTCTTTTTTTCTTTCTTTTTTTTTTTTTTGAGACGGAGTTTCGCTCTTGTTGCCCAGGCTGGAGTGCAATGGCGCATTCTCGGCTCACCGCAACCTCTGCCTCCTGGGTTCAAGCAATTCTCCTGTCTCAGTCTCCCAAGTAGCTGGTATTACAGGCATGTGCCACCACGTCCGGCTAATTTTTTTGGTTTTTTTTTTTTTTTTTTTTTTTTTTGAGACGGAGTTTCGCTCTTGTTACCCAGGCTGGAGTGCAATGGCGCGATCTCGGCTCACCGCAACCTCCGCCTCCTGGGTTCAGGCAATTCTCCTGCCTCAGCCTCCTGAGTAGCTGGGATTACAGGCACGCGCCACCATGCCCAGCTAATTTTTTGTATTTTTTTTTTTAGTAGAGACGGGGTTTCACCTTGTTTACCAGGATGGTCTCGATCTCTCGACCTCGTGATCCACCCGCCTCGGCCTCCCAAAGTGCTGGGATTACAGGCTTGAGCCACCACGCCCGGCCTTTTTTTGTATTTTTAGTAGAGATGGGGTTTCACCATGTTGACCAGGATGGTCTCGATCTCTTGACCTTGTGATCCACCCTCCTCGGCCTCCCAAAGTGCTGGGATTACAGGCGTGAGCCACCATGTCCGGCCCTAAGGTTTTCTTTTTTTTTTTTTTTAAGATGGGGTTTCACCATGATGGCCAGGCTGGTCTTGAACTCCTGACCTCAGGTGATCCACCCACCTCAGCCTCCCAAAGTGTTAGGATTACCGGCGTGAGCCACTGTGCCCGGCCTCACAAGGTTTTCTTTAGATTTTGAAAAACAGACTCGAGCCTCAGGATGGTGACTTTGACTCTGGTGACAATAATTGATCTCCACCTGTTTACACACTTTAGAAGCTCCTATGGAAAAATTTAGTCCTTGTGTCTAAAGTTGCCAACCCACTTGAAAACATCAAGTTTCTTACAAACACATAAAATTCTAGGCATCTTTAGTTAGGTAATCATAACTTCTCCTTTGCCAAGTGTTTCTGTGTCCTAGAGAATCTGAAATCTCAAATGTGTCCATACCACTGGAGTTCAGGCTTTGAACTAGGGCACAGGCTCACAGGCTTTCCCTGCAGAACCCCATATCACAGTCAGGATCTGCAGCGTCACTCTTGATTTGCCCAGAAACCCACATCTCCGGCCCCTGCCAGAAGATCCACTGAGATGCAGTGAGTTTTCCGCATATCACATACCGTTTCTAAAGGTAGCAAAGTCTTTTCCTATGCATTATTTTATCCAATTTTTTACTGTTTCCATTAGACATCAAAGGAGCATTTAATTATTTCATTTTTTTAAGTAAGAAACTGCTTTCAAGAAATGAAGACCTTCTTAAGGTCACCCAGAGGATAAGAGAGAGAGTAGGCACAAACATGTTTCTTCTAGCTCCAGGGTCAGGCTCTTTCTTCTGTCCTCCTCAGACTCAGGAAGGAGGGTTCAAGTGCATCAGTGATGTGAAGTAGATGAAACCAGTGGTGTGGGAGTGATGGACACAGGTTGAGAGATGTGGGGGTTAAAAAATTTTTGTCATCCCTAGGAGTGACATCTGGAGGCTGAGAAAGCCAAAAACTCTTTCCCAGAAACTGAAGACTGTATTCCATGCTCCAGATCTGAGTAGGATGCTGCAAATGTTTAGAGGTGAGGAGAAGCAGATAAAGACCGTGGATGTGGGATTGTTGTGGTGTCAGGTAATAAACTGTCTAGGTGGGATGACTTAAAATTGAGGACAGAAGAGATGAGGGAGGTCAGAGAATAAGGAATATTCTGTGATAAAGAGGATGTGTTTATATGTAAAAGAAAATGGCTAGGTCTCTGGTTTATCTTTTAATTCACTAGCTCAAAGCTTCACGGTATTCCCTTCCCCTGTCCCTACTTTAAACAATAGGTAGGTATCAGTGCTTACTCTTTTGTTTCTAATCAGCATCACCGAATCTTTTATTATTTCAGAACTGACAGCTGTCCGATGCTACTGGGGTAAGAAAACATTCCAGTCTTTAAATAACTGTGTTCCAGTTACCTTTCAGAAGTTTGTGGTTTGTGGTTTCAGTGATATCCTCTAATCTTAGCCTCATTCACTCTCAGCGCCTCCCAAAATATTTGCATAATACGTTTCTCCAGTGTTTTACTCCTCCCATAATTCATCAATGCACGTTTTTCAGTCAATTCCCAAGTTCCTTCATAGGATAAACTTACTCCATATCTGTCATCTAATCATATATATCACATAGATTATTATATTCATATACGTATATAATACACACATATATATATATATATATATATTTTTTTTTTTTTTCTTGCAGTGGATGTCACAATGAATCCAGTCAACCTGAATTTGAATCTTGTCCTTTCAGAAGATCAGAGACAAGTGATATCTGTGCCAATTTGGCCTTTTAAGTGTGATAATTTTGGTATCTTGGGATCCCAATATTTCTCCTCAGGGAAACATTACTGGGAAGTGGATGTGTCCAAGAAAACTGCCTGGATCCTGGGGGTATATTGTAGAACACGTTCCCGCAATATAAAGTATGTCATTAGAAGACGTGCAAATCATCAAAATGTTTACTTCAAATATAGGCCTCTATTTGGCTACTGGGTTATAGGGTTAGAGAATAAATGTAAGTATAGGGCCTTTGAGCAGTCTTTGTCCTCTGATTCTGAGGTTTTGACTCTCTCCATGGCTGTGCCTCCCTGCCGTGTTGGGGTTTTCCTAGACTATGATGCAGGTATTGTCTCCTTTTTCAATGTCACAAGCCATGGCTCCCTCATTTATAAGTTCTCTAAATGTTGCTTTTCTCAGCCTGTATATCCATATTTCAATCCTTGGAAGTGTCCAGCTCCCATGACTCTGTGCCCACCAAGCTCTTGAATTTTCTCATTTCTTCACCTACAACCCTCTGTCTTGACTCATCTCCTGTATCTGACTTATCTGTAACATTCAGACCATTGCTTCCTTGTGGTCTCCCTTCCTTACTTTAGAACTTTCACTCATCCTTGAGATGTACAGTATATTTGGCTTGAGTTATGAGAGATGCTTATTTATTCATTGACTCTTTTTCATATTTTCAGAGAAAGTTACCTAATCCCTCTTAAAGGCACAGCAGTATTGATATAATATCCTTGCCTTCTCATTTCTCTGTGTTTTGCTTTATCACTGATGTGAAGAGGCCCAGAGCCTGTTAGCCACCATACATGCTACCTAGGTGGTTCATAGGAACCACCCCATGACGACCACCAGCATCAACTGAAGGTTCTTGCAGAGTATGTCAGTGTGTTGCTCAGGATATCCCAGGTACATCAAGGAATCAGTAGAGAAAAATCTAATCAATATGTGTATTCAGAGAGATTTTTTATGTCCAGAGTATTTGAGCTCAAACCCCATCTCTTGTTTTCTAATCATGTTGAATACTTTCTCATTTTTTTATCTGAAATACAAATTGTGATTTAAGCCTGCACCTGACATTTTGGGCTGGATGAAAAAAGAAAGAAAAGAAAAAAAAGACTGAACCTAACTATTAAGATCATTGTGTAAAACTAGATGTCTCTAAATGTAATGCACCAATTTAGTGTCTGGAACATAATAAATATTTGCTCTCATGATTACTAAAAAGTATAAGCTGTGGTAATGTCCTGTGCAATAGTTTTGTGCCCTACGGAGGAATAGTAGTTGATTTTATTGAAGTCTTATTTTTCAGGTTCCCAGACTCCGCTGTCAAGACCATTCCACTTCTAGTTTTGTTTTGTAGAACTTTTTATACTGAGAATAGGGCTTTTTTTTTTCTTATTTTTCCTGTACATATTTAAGATATATGTTATGATGTTTTGATATATATTTACATGGTAAAGTGATTACTACAGCCAAGTAAATTAATACATCCATTATATCATATAGTTTGTGTTGGGGGAAGCAGGTGATAAGTTCATATAAAATCTACTTTCTTAGCAAATTCCCAATATACAATACAATATTAACTATAATCCTTGATATGGTTGGGATTTTTGTTCTGCCCAAATCTCATGTTGAAATGTAATCCCCAGTGTTGGAGATGGGGCCTAGGGGGAGGTGGTTGGATCATGGGGGCCTCATGGATGGCCTAGTACCATCCCCATGGTAATGAATACATTCTTGCTGTGAGTTCATGAAAGATTTGGTTATTTAAGGGTGTAGCACTTTCTCCCCTCTCTCTTTTGTTCCCACTCTTGCCAGTGATATTCCTGCTCCTGCTAATGTTGGAATAAAAATTTTGTCAAAAAAATTTTAACTTAGTACAACAATAAAAAAGTGTGATAGGCTGGGTGCTGTGACTCACAGCAGCAGTTTGGGAGGCCAAGATGGCAGATTACATAAGGTCAGAGGTTCAAGACCAGCCTGGCCAAAATGGCAAAACCCCATCTCTACTAAAAATACAAAATTAGTTGGACGTGGTGGTGTGCCCCTGTAATCCCAGCTACTTGGGAGGCTGAGACATGAGAATCGCTTGAACCCAGGAGGTGGAAGCTGCAGTGAGTCAAGATTGTGCCACTGCACTCAATTCTGGACGACAAGAGCAAGACTTGCTTTCAAAAAAAAAAAGTGTGAAAAAAGTGGTTTGTTATAGATCACTTAAAAGTTATGAAATGTTGTTACACAATTCAATGCTAAGTTTTAAATCTGTAAAATGAATGAGTTAAAATTAACAACCTTACAATCAGAAAGAAGCAGAAAATTTCATAGAACCACAATAATTATGTAAAAATTATACAATTATATGTGTTCCATTGCATAGAATAAGAGTACTTTTGAAAGTCTAATATTCTGTGTCAGTTCAACAATCAGGGAGGAAAAAAGAGAGCCCTACCTTTCCTTCTTCAGAAGAGAGTGGGGACAGAGAAGGCTCGACAAAGGTAAAGTCTGGGAAAAGCTTCACTTTTACTCACTGCATATTGATTCTCTAGATACATTCTCATTGTTCTTTGCCTTGATGATAGGACTTTTACCCAGATCTGACAACTACTCTCTTCATCAAATCTAGTCTTATGAAAGTACATATATATATATACACACACACACACACTGCATATATATATTAATATGTGTGTATATTTATAATGTGTAATTTATAATTACATAGATAATACAAATGCATACATATGTGTAATACATATAAAGTATTAGATTATATATGTAGAATACATATAAATGTATATCATGCACATGTAAATATACATATATATACACAAACACATATATCCCCAAATACACCAACCACCCTCATGTTTCTTCCCAGAATTCCATCCACAGGCATATCTTATCTGGAAATGTCTTACCACAGAAGCACTGAATGTCTGTCCACTCTGAAATGATAAAAGTTCATAATGTTGACTACATGCAATGGAGTCAGCACTGACGTGTGTTTTTTCTCCAGAATAGAGGAAGAGGAGGGGACTGTAGTAGGACAATGAATTTGTGAGTAATAGCATGAAACAGTCTCTTGGCTATTCCCCATCAAATATGATCATATCATCAGCACACAATATCCATCCTCACCTCTTCTACCTGCTCCTGGAAACTGCTCTCTTCCCTATTTAGCACCTGCCACCACTAGACTTCTGCAGATCTAGTTGTTCGAGCTCTTCTCACCTTTACACATTTGAAGCATTCCTCTTAGATGAGAAGCTCAACACACTTCCCTTTATTCTTTGGGAAACATTTTTAGCTTCTTTAAATCAAGTTCTCACTCCTAGGAATGAAAAAAAGTAACTCCCAAACCTCTGACTTTGTAACCCTCAGACACCACTGATGTCCTATAATTTCACCCCATTGATGCACTTGAACTCTCTTCCCTGAGATGGGAGAGGGCAGACTCTTGACCCTAGAACCAGACAAAACGTACTCATGTTCCTTTCCCCCTTACTCTCTGTGTGACCATGGGACAGACTTAACCTCTCAGAAGCACAGTTTCTTTCTTCCAAAATAAAATAATCTTTCCCTCTCTACCTTCTTAAGCTCATAGGACATGAAGAAATAATGGATTTTAAAACAAAGCTAAACTTTGGTGGCTTAGAAAGAGATTTAATGTGTGGAAACATTATTGCTATAGATGTGGGTTACCAGAAAGATGGTTAGAAAGTGAGGTTGCAAGACCTGGCTCCTGGGTGTTTGAGACATATCAGGAGAGGTAGCCACAAGGACCAGCAATTCAGGATGTCTATTATGTAACACCAGCCACACTGTTTTCTTACAGCACATTATCTATAAAATGTTACCAATATCTATTCATAGGATACCTTCTTCCACTGGCCATTTTGTATTCTCTTTGCTCTCAGCAATGACCTCGAGTGATAGCTATTTTTACCTGATGGAGTGACCCAAACTTTCATTTCTGAAGGCCCTTGGCCATTTGTCATCTTGCCTGAGCTGAATCTTTAATCACAGGGCACAATAATACTAAGAGGTATCCTATGGGATCTCCTGTACTCCAGACACACTTTTTCTTAACCTCTGTTGTGGAGTAGTTGTTCTAAGTATCCTAGATAGCCAGGATTAATTAACTAGTGAGCACAGTAACTATTCTTTTTGCCTGTTGGTTGAGAGGCATGAGCATCCAAAGTGGCTGGGTAGGCTGGGCACAGTGGCTCACGCTTGTAATCCCAGCACTTTGGGAGGCCAAGGCAGGCAGATCATGAGATAAGGAGTTTGAGACCAGCCCAGTCAATATGGTGAAACCCCGTCTCTACTAAAAATACAAAAATTAGTCAGACATGGTGGCGTACACCTGTAATCCTAGTTACTCAGAAGGCTGAGGCAGGAGAATTGCTTGAACCTGGGAGGTGGAAATTGCAGTGGGCTGAGATCATGTCACCGCACTCCAGCCTGAGGACAGAGCGAGACTCCATCTCAGGAAAAAGAAAAAAAAAAAAGGAGGTGTTTAACCCAAAGTGACTGGCTGGCTGTCTTAACTTCTAGTTCAATGAAATCATTGTCATGTCTACTGGTGGAAGTATTCTTCCCTTAGGAACTAAGATCGCTAAGCCAGCAGAGCATAATATTACAGAAGTAGAAGGCGAAATTTTGCTAGCAAGGCACTAGGAATGGAAGTGAGTGGTATATCACCCCTTTCCACCCCTTTCTTGATTTATAGACCTGTGAATCCTAGTTATGGAAAAAGTAGCACTATATATTGGTCACTGATTTTGAGGATATATGGCCTCCTAAAGAACTTTGCTCCAATCCTGGAAGATATTGCCACTTAAGTGGTGCTTTTAGTTTGTCTTGTAAGGGCCACTTTTCTATCAAGCCAGCTGCTCGGGGTGATGGGGAACATAGCAAGTTTAGTAAATTGCATAAACATGGGCCCTTTGCTACACCTTATTTCCTATGAAGTGAGTTCCTTGACTGGAGTCAATGCTGTGTGGAAAACCATGGTGGTAAATAAGGCATTCTATAAGTCTGAGGACGGTAGTTCTTGGAGAAACGTCATGTGTATGGAAGGTGAATCTCTGCCAGAGTAAATGTCTATGCCAGTGAGGAGAAAATGCTGCGTCTACCATGATGGAAGCAGTATGTAGTCAATGTGCAACTAGGTAGCCTTCCAACTCCTTCACCATCTATTCAAACCATTGGCCGTTGCCCATGATTCAGTATATAATCATGCGTCTGACTGTTTCCCTTTCTAAGCAATATGAACAATAGGTTGCACTACTTTTTAAAGTTCTGCCCATTGGGAGGGCTTTCCTTCACCATGGTACTTCAAGAATATCCCTGAAAAAAGCTTTAGTGTTATAGCTGTCTACCTCCAGGTGATGCCTTTATATCATAAAGAACCATCTGCAAACCGGATCTGAGTTTTTTCTTTCTTCATCAACTGATTGCAGATAACTTTCCATGAGGCCATAGCTGAAGGCTGGGTGAGAGCAGATAGGGTAGCAGAAGTGAAGACTAAGGGCATTTGAGCCACTCCTTTGTGTGACTTAAATTTAGTTTTAGGGCTTGCTCATGGCTACTCACATAGATAACACTTCCATTTTGTGTTGGAGTGCTGCTGTGCACATCCAAATTTGTTGTTTGATGGATCAGCTAATAACTAGTTCATGATGGCCAGATAGGTCACTTAGTAACTTGGTGGCCCTAGTTCAGTGTTCAGTCTCCACCAAGGCCCAATAGAAAGCCAATAGCTGTTTCTTGAATAAGACAGTAGTTAATGAGCAGAAGATAACACCTATAGGGTCCTGCCAAATACTTCAAAATCTTCCTTATCTGCCACTGACATTTCAAGCACCGTTGTATCTGCTTGATCATGTGGTCCCAGTGGCAGAGCAGATTTGGCAACAGCCTGTACCAACTGCAGAGCATTATCTTATTCCAGTTTCCACTCAAATCTTACTCTTTTCAAGTATCTTAGCAAATGGACAGGAGTGACACCTCAAAATGAGGAACATATTGCCTCCATCATCCAAAGAGGCTCACTAGGTATTGTACCTCTCTTTTGGTTGTAGGCATGGCCAGATACAACAATTTCCTTTTCATTTTAAAAGGGATATTTCCATATACCTCACAGCACTGGATCCCTAGAAATTTCACTAAGAAGATCCCTGCAGTTTTTTCTTA